AATCATGCCATGATTCTATAATTTCATGCGCATGATTATGCGCATGATCATGCGCATGTCATGCGCACATCACTAGTTTTCATTCCATTTTGGATACATATCAGCCTAGTACTATTTTTCACCATTACAATGGGCCGGGCTTGGGCCGGGCATAGTTTGAAATTAAAACCCGACCCGGCCCGTACTTATGGGCTTTTTTTTTTAATGGGTCGAGCTTGGGCTTGTAAATATTTTTTGGGCTCAGTTTTGGGTCCATGTAAGCCCGGCCCAACCCGGCCCATTCCGTCCCCTAATTCCGACCCTAAATTTTGGTCGATCTGCTGAATTTTGATTGCTCCACTAACACTAATCTATCCCTAAAGTTAGGTATGTACGTACGTGCAATTGGGACGTGTCCGTAGACTAGTGCTTGGATCTGGTTATCCGTTGGATGCAAATTTAATGGTAAAATCCGTCGGATATCCGTTAAATTTAATATAAAAACGAATAACCGGATCCAAGCTCTACCATAGACTGTCTGAAGTAAACTACCCTGGATCGTTGCTATTACTTGATCTGTTGATCATAATCAACCAATCAGATTTAATCAAACTTGCATTTTAACCAATAAAGAAACTACAATTCTAAGATTAGCATATTTTATAATTAAATAAATAAGGTTATAACTATTTTTTTTTTTTGAATCTTAAGGTAAAACCATGCCTCTAACTTTATTAAAACTCAATTAAATCTTTTTATGAGAAAATTTACAAAAAAGAAAATTATATATGAATTTTATATCCAAAAAATATCAAGAATAGAGACTTAGACAAAATTTTCTGTGATCTAAACCTAGTTATAACTAATTTTCACCCATAGTGATATCACCTAATATTATAAAATTTCTATTAAAGGTTAGAGTTATTCTTGGGTTGGAGTAAGAGGGTTAAATATATACAAAATTTTGAGTTATTAAAGCTTTTCTTTTATTTTTCTTTTTACTTTGGTTTGGTTACACAAAATTTGAAAAGCTGATTAGTTTTTATACAACTAGGTGACATCATTTTAAAAGCTGTTATAAATATATAAGCTAAGCAAAATATTTTTTAAGATTAGAATTTTATATATATACAGTATAAATAAAATACAAAGTTAGCATTAGATAAAATATTTGTATAATAAAGTATTATTGTTTTTTTAAAAAAAAATAAAAAATTTTGAGTTGTATGTAATAATAATAAATAAATTCACTCTTTTTTTTAATTTGTTGTTTCAGTGTAATATTCTTAGTAATTAATTAATTAAAATCAGTTTTGTAATCATATATTTGCTAATTTGCTCTTCACAAATCAACTTATATGATTGATTTTAATTGATTAATCATAGAATTACTATAATAACAAGTTACAATAAACTAATGCTTTTTAAAAAATATATTATTTAAGTTTTTTAGCTTAATATCTTATATATTTAGTTTTGTACAAATTTTTAAAAGTATATACAATAATCTGTTTTCTTATTATACAAATATCCTTCTATATAATACTATAGATTTAGATATTATACAATAAATTAACTATTATTCAAAAATTTTTACAGTTTTTTAAAATCTAATCTAGATAAGTATTTTTTATTTTTATATTAATATTTGTATATTTTTTACTTTTACTTATTTATTTTTTAGTTTTTACTAACTATAACCGGTGGTGATCATCACCGGTGTATAATTAGCCAATAACGATAAACTAAAAAAAGATTTTATTTCATTTGCTTTAGGGTTAGAGTAAGGTTTGAGATTTTAGCAGGGTGTTAAATATATGCAAAATTTAGCAAGGAATTTTTTTTGTTAGAGTGTTGAAGGTAGTTTCATAGACAAATTTTTGAGATATTAACCTTTTTTTAAAAAAAATCTTTATTTTTGTTACACAAATTGATTTGCACATTACACCTGATCCTGCAAATTTATTAGCTAATTATACACCGGTGATGATCACCACCAGTTATAGTTAGTAAAATTCTTATTTTTTATTATTATTTTTTTATAATAAAAATAAATTAGTTTATATAAATAATTAATAATTATTTTTTGATTACTTTGTTTTTTTTTTTTTTAATTAGCTTTTTTGAGGCTAAGATCTTTATTTAAATATTGTTGAATAGAGAACTTACAGCTTAACACCTCATAGGAACCCCTTATATTAGGAAGTACATTTTAGTCATATTTGTGCTTTTTGAGCACCTAATTAAGTAGTTTGTCTATTACTAGACTTTATACTAAATGCTGTACCTGTAACTCAACTATGAGATTATTTATTTAAATTCTTTGTAATATAACTCTACTTGTGTTACTATTATATTTTCATTAAATTAGTCAGTCAAGAAGTTTCAGATACTTAATTTATTCCCTATAGGACTACTTTATCCTTAAGGCATTGTTGCTAGAGCTTTTCTTATTTACAATCTGGCCAATTTAGACTTTCAGTAATTTGTGCTGAATTCAAGAACAAGTATTTGCAAGCTGAAGCCACTACCATTACCTATTACTGCCCTTATAGAGTTCACCCAAATTTCAGCACCTACTTTATAAACTATCACCTGTATTTTTGTTAGCCCAAACTTCTAATTCAGATGATTTAGAAGAGCTATAGTCTGCTTCTGATCCCTACAGTTGGGTTCTTTTCTTCCGGTTACTCATCTGGCAGCCTGGTTAATAAAGTGTCTTGCCAAACACTTCAATACTGTTAAGTTCTCATTGTTTCTGAATGATAATCCTTTATATAATACTATTGAATATCTATGCTATCTCTCTACTTAGGTCTTGTCAAGTGGATTTTATATAACTCATACATCACACTAAATATTCTATTACCTCCTAGTACAAGCTAGTACGATCTTATTACAGGTTCTATAACCTAATAGAATTTAGTTTTCTTAATGCATTTCGTAAATTTGAATTTCGTCACTAGTGGGATTTGAACTCTTGTTCTGCCATTTGGAAATGTGACAACTTATCAACTTCACTAAGTCACTACATCCTAATTACTTTGTTTTTATTATTCTCTTTAATACAGTATTTGCTAATAAATTGTCTTGTAGTATTTTTCTAATCTTTCAGTATATGCTAATAATTTGTTTTATAATATATCTTTTATTTCTTTAATATTTTGCTAGTAAATTGTTTTATATAATTTTTTAATTCTTTGATATTTGTTATGAATTGTCTTATAGTAGTTTCTTCAACATTTGTTATAAATTAATTTGTAATATTTTTAGATTTTTTAATATTTTTTAATAAGTTGTTTTATAGTTTTTTTTTTAGTTCTTTAATTGGTAATTCATTAGTTATTTGATGCATGATCATAGTATAATATAATACAGATTACTATATAAATTACATATACTTCAAATATAGTGTTTATCTAAAGAAAACTTTTTCTTACTAAGTTAATTGCTCTTCTATATTAAGTGAAAATTATAAAACTTGTTAAGGTATATCTAATAGTGGTAGGATTATTGAAAACAGCCTAGTAGTTATTAAGATATTACTAAACAATGATTAGCTAACTATATAAAATTTCTATATAAATAATAATTTGTTTATATAGGATTTTACATAATCAGCTAATTATTTTTTAGTGATATTTTGACAACTACTAAGCTATTTTTAATGATTTTATTACCATTAGATGTGCTCTACAATTTTTACTTAATATAGAAAAGCAATTAACTTAGTAAGAAAAAGTTTTCTTTAGATAAATATTACATTCAGAATATATATGATTTATATAATAATCTGTATTATGTTATACTATGATTATACACCAGGTGACTGGCAAATTCTAATTAATATTTTGCTAATAAATTATTTTCTAATTATTTTTTTGAATAGTTTTATATTATTCTTTTTTTTATAGAATTTCTTTTTAGTATTTTTTTTCTAATATTCTTTTTTTTATATAATTTAGCAATTTGCTATTTTTTATTTGCAGATTAAACTAAACTAAGAAATTTACATTCTCTAATAGTAGCTATACTAATCCACCTGTAAAATAGCTTATTTACGCTTTTACCAGATATGACTTGCCTTAGTAGTTTTAAACTTCTTTCTGAGCCTCTAACTTACTAAAAGTTATCCTTTGGTTATGGACTAGTGCCATATACTATATCCAAATTAATTTTTCTTTTATAAAATGAAATATAAACACAAATACAAAAGATATAACAAAAATAAGAAAATACTACGACATCAAGTTCTGGTCTATCTAAACTAATAAAACCAAATAAAACAAATAAAAAAAAGAAAAAACATAAAAAAAAAAAACAAAGATAGCACTATTAAATCTGAGCAAGATTGAAAAAATTATATAGTACTACAAATAAACTAGACTAAACTTTATGTTAATTATTTATATCTATATCTAGGATATAAAAATATTAAAAACTATCTAATCTTGAAGTAGAGCTCCAAGGGTCGAAACTTCTAGTTGCTATTTCAAATCTATTAATACGTCTTTTGCAATATTTCAAATATTATTACATTATCTTACACTATAACTTAAAGGAGTATATATAGATTAAGTACTGTAGAATTGTTAATTTAGTATCGTATGATATGATTAAAATTATGATATGTACGTATGTATGTATGTACATATGTTCGTACAAATTGATCATCAGTATAATCTTAACGATAAAGAAATAAATACAATTGATCATGTAAATCTAGTCTAATTTTCTTATTAATATCGATACCAATACTGATACGATAGATTCAAAAATACCAAATTCAAAGTTTTCTGGTTACAAACCAGAAGTAATAGAGATATCCGATACAGACGATGAGTTAATGATAGTGGTATTTATAATTATAATCTAGTAAATTCACATTTTAAAATACTATCGCTATGAATCATATTGTAATTATACACTTATGTTATTATAAAAAAAAAAAGAATACAAGCAAATATGAATATTCTGAGCCTGAAGTAGCATCAAAAAAAAGTAAATTAGATAGAATTAGCATGGCAACGAGTAATGATAGATGTGTTCAAAGGGAATTAAGCACTTTATCATGTGAATCTAATGGTATGAATAATTCTGGTAGTGTTTTTAACACTTCTGCTCTTTCTAAATCATCATCAGTTTGTGAAGTGGATGATACTTTTAAGGTAAAAGAGAAATATCACATAACAATATAATATTTATAATTCTAATTTTTAATATTATATTTTAAATAACTAGAATTCAAGAAATGTTACACCTTATAATAATTTAAACAATAATATTATAGCTAATGAGAGTTTCGAGGATGAAATGATTGTACTTAATAATAGTTTAAGAAATAATATAATTAATAGTAGTTTTGAAACTACAAATGAAAGCGATATATTTAATTATAATCTAGTAAGTAAAAATAATTTATTAATATTGCTATTTTCTAAAAGTATTAGTCACAAGATATAATTAACAAAAACCGAATTCGGCTTTTGTTAATTATATCTTATAACTAATAATTTTTATTATATTGATTTATTTTATTGCTATATTTAATAATTAGCCACAACCAACATTTGCACAATTTGGACGAAATTTAAGTATTGATCAGATTGAATATTTTCTTGAATTTCAAGAATATCCGAAGACCTCACCTATTAGTGTTGCTAGTATATATAATGTTTCAGGATGGAAGTTTGATGAAGCCAAACAAGCATTTGGAATCGCTAATCTTTAATATTCTTATAGAAATCCTGGAAATATATGACCAATACAAAAATGTCTATTTCTAGGTGTGCATGTTCATAAAACCTACCGCTCCTGTCACAGTGTAAAAGTATGTGAATTTAGTTCACCAGAACTTAATATTGAACATACTTTTGTTGACTTTGAAGATCAGCTTTATAAGAAAATTTTTGATGTGAATGAATCTTCAATTAATACAATTACTCTTAAGTAAATATAATTTAAATTCTTAATTTATTTTCTTTAATTATTAATTTATCTACTTAAATTATTATTAATTTATTGCTTTAAATTATTAATTTACTTTATTTTAAATTATTAAATTATTTTAATTTTAGTACTTTCGGCCTTGCTTATAATACTCCATGTTCTTACATCGATCCAAATACTAATATACAATGTAATGGCGAACCTATTCTTAAAGAATACAAACAAATTAAGTTTATATATTTAATATAATTATACTTTAATAATAATTTAATATATATTAAATTATAATTGTAGATTAGTAATATTTCATTGGATATTCGAAAATTTATTAGATATAAGAAATATAAACTAGGAGAAAAAGGACATCGATTTATTTCAATTAATCAGTGTGTTAATTTAAATTACCTTAAACAACTTTTTCATAATTATACTTATTGTTCTAATAGAATAAAAGAAGAAGTATATATTGTTTAATTAATCATATTTTATTTTTTATTATAAATACTAATTTAATATTATAAAAATTATAATAGGATCGAAATAAAGTTATTGACAAATGTTATACAGTTCTTTCAAACTCTTCTATGACAACTTATTGTCGTAAGTAAATAAAAAATATAGAATTTATATAAATATATAATTAATATTTATATTAAAGTTTATTTTAATTAATTTAGCATTTCTTCATAAAACTAATAATCAAATTGTGAAAGCTAAAATAATTAATAAAGGAAATTGTCCTGTTAAATTTTATCATATTATACCTGATAATTTAACCGAATGTCCATTTATTGTAATGATATCTGTTGGTATTCACAATCATCCACCTTCACCGGCTGTTAAAATTTCACGAAATATAATGGAAGACTTACAAACAATTATTAATAATGAAGATGATATTGATATTACAGCACGAAAACTTCTTACTAGTAAGTTAATTTTATATAAATACTGTATATATCTTTAATATTTAAAATAATTTAATTAATAATTTATTTATTAGGACCAATGATAAAAATGTATCTTCAAGAAAAACCATTAAATAGTATTCATATATCATTAAATAACCAATCAAGACTTAATTATTTAATCGAAAAGAATAAGCGATCAAAATATCTATTTGGCCAAGATATTATTGGTATATATAATTTAGTATATTATAATTTATTATATTATAATTAATTAAATTATAAATTAATAATTATAGTAATTTAATTTATATTTAGGAGTTACATATGAATTATTAAAACATAAAAATTTATCTGATCTATATATTCGAACGGCTAGTAAAAAAATTAAATTAAATAATATTTATTTTAGTTTAAAATATAATTACTAATAACTAAAAAATTTGATTAAGATTTTTTGATAATGGACAATATCTTGTTTTATGTACATGAAAAGAGCAAGCAGAATTATTTGCAAAATCATTATATGCAGAAATTGATATGGCTTTTAAACGAATTCATAGTATCACTAATGAGTAAAAAATTTGTGCATATAGTAGCCGTTATCAAAAAAGTAAATAATATTATAATTTATATTATTATAATATTATATACTATCATATTAATTTTTATATTTATAATAATAATAGCATTAATATTTGCAAGAGCATTTACGAATATTCAATCAGCTGATGCATATCAGCATTTATTTGAAGATTTATTTACTATTGTTGAAAATGATACACAAAAGCCATTTAAATTTTAACATATTTATGGTAGTGGATTAGGATGCTTAATTGCTGATTCACATCATAAACAAGCACTTGGTAACAATTAATCTATTTTTATTATTTAATAATTTTAAATAAATAAATAAATTTTATTTAAATAAGGTCTTGGTCAATATCTTCATTCAAAATATAATTATTTATCATGTGAAGAGCATTTACAACATATCTACAAATTATGTCAAATCCATTATAATCGATAAATTAATTAATATATATATATATATTTAAATTAATTAAATAATTTATTAATAATTTATATATTTTTATTAATTAATAGTAATATTCGTAATAAAACTATTTCTAATAAAATAAAAACCTTAATGTATTCTATACCAACATTAAAAACACAAGAACAAATTTTTGAAACATTAATTAAAATTAAAGAATCTGGCGAATTAAGAGCTGCAGGTAATTAATTTATTTTTTGTAATTACAATATGTATTTTATATTTATCTAATTTATTTATAGAATGGGTTCAAGATAAATACAAATCATGGGTATTATCTGGACTTTCTCCAGTATTTACTAAAATGGATATTGAAATTTGGAATCAAACTCCAAATAATACTAATACAAATAAATCAGCTCATGCAAATATAAATCATGATGGACATGCTTTATCTTTTTTAGCAGCAATATATCGGTATGTAATTTTATAATATTATAGTACAGTATTTATTTAAGATATATTAATACTAATTTAATTATAATTTAGTAGAGATGATTTTGACAAACAGCAGTGGCATACAGCAAAAACATATGAACAATACAATGTACAAGATTCTTATAAAAACAAATCAGAATTAGCACGTTTAACTTATAATGCAAAAAGAAGTCGTAAGTATATTCTTTAAGTTTAATAATTATATAAATTAATTTAAATAGCATTAAATATATTTTTTAGAAAAGCGAAAAAATAAAGCTAAAGAATCTGGATCAAAGTCTAAATTACAAAAAAAACGTAAAGATCAAAAATTAAATAAAGATAATAGTAAAGATAATTTAAATCAAACATCATCTGAATTATCTTATACTACTATTCCTACGGAACAAGAACAACAAAATTACATTGAATGGGAAGACAGAAAACTTAAAGTTCAACAAAAAAAATTAGAATTACTTAAAGAAGAAATTGCGCTTCAGGAAAAGTTAAATAATTTGAAAAAAAATTAAATTATTAAAATTTAATTTTATGTAATGTTATTATTTAATAAATAATATTAGTAATGCTAGATTTAAAAATATTTTAATAAATTTAACAAATATTTGCTATAATATATCTTATTTTCATAAATTCAGTTTAAAAAGTTTATCGAAAAGACTATAATTAGTTATATATGGGAGCCAAGTTCGGTAAAGAAAATATAAAAAAAAGTTTGTGAATTGATTCACTAATAATAAATGATACTTGAATTAATTAATATTTATTTATTATATAACAGTGTCTTATATGTATTTGATCATTTGAGATAATTTTCCAAAAGTTATTTATTATTAGTAAATCGATTTGACAGGTTTTTTTTTATCGTTATTGTTACTCATATAAAAATTACAATATAGCATAGTACTGTACGATTAGACTAGTATTATATATATTATCGTACAGTACAGTACAATTTTTGAAATGTACAGTACTGAATCTCTATATCCCGTAACTTAAAGTAGATATATACATATGTATATGTCTTTCCTTTTTCAGCAGTGATTATTGTTGTCAATCTTTTGATAGAAGTATGCTGTTTTTTCACTTTTTGGAAAAATTTCGTAAAGACCAAGAGTAGAGTATAGAAGAAGGTTTTTGTTTGTAGATAGCCTTAAATTTCAATAAAAAATATGTTAAAAACTCACTTGTTATTCTCTTTAGACCAACTATCTTTAATTTTGTTAGCAAAAGCAGAGCTTCTATTAAATTTTTTTGTATAAGAGCACCACCTTTTTGCCAGTTATCTTGTACAAGAATGCTTTTAACTTGTATACCAAATATATAGAAGAGTCTAAAGAAAGACAAAACAAGCCTTGATCTCTGTAAAAACTGTTATTTATAGTTGTTTTTTCTGCTTTTTTCTAACAAGTTTCTGTTTTTGTTAGCCATAAGTTTGGTACAAGCGATCATTGAGAAGAGTTGGCGAATCTTATTTTTTCTTTTCTTTAGATAAATTGTTTTGTAATATTTTTTCTAATATTTTAATATTTTGCTTAAAAATTATCTTGTAATATTTTTTTAACCTTTTAGTTTTTGCTAATAAATTGTTTTGTAATATTTTTTTTGCAATAGTTTTTCTAATTTTCAATATTTACTATAAATTGTTTTATAGTATTTTTCTGGTCTTTTAGTTTTTTTTAATAAGTTGTCTTTTAGTATTTTTTAGTATTTGTTAGTGAATTGTTTTGTAAATTATTTTTTTGGACAGTATTTTTTTTTCTTTCAGCAATCCTGTTTACTTTATTATGAGAACAGACTTTCATTCCTACATTGGCATATGAAGAAATCTAAATCTATAATGTTCTAACCAAAGAGTAAACTCACCTACGGTGTATCTTGCAGATGCCGAAACATCTACTTGCAGTCAGAGTGAACCATTAAACTGCTGTGTTTTGCCCAGATGCGAACTGCCTAGCAACACTTGGTCTCCTTCAGAGATCTGGAACTCACTCCAGACTTATTTCCCTCAGATTTCTCGGCTGGCTATTGCTCGTCCCGTCAAAATTCCTGCTTTACAATAGAATACCGCCAAACTGATAACACTTTCTCGTAAAGAAGGAAAAAAGAAAAAAAAAAAGGGATAATAGAGAACAAAAAAAGTGTATATAATAAAAACAAATACATCAAAAAAAATGGATACTAATACTAAGGAATATAAAAAACTAAACTAAAAATTGAAAAGAAACTATTGCTAAAAAAAAGAAAACCTGCTGATCAGGCAAAAACTTCTAATTATACAGAGTAACGATCTACTATTAAATGCGAGAATCTTGACAAAAATAAAAGCATAAAACTAAAACAAAATGCACTATAACTCATGCCAAAGGCTAAAAATTATATACAAGGGACATGTTGTATATCTCAAAACACTTTGCTTGACTTTTCCCAATTAAATCTATATCTTTATCTGAAAGTATAAAGACTTTAAAAACTCCACATAACTTGTTGTTATCATTTCATTCATTTTATAACACATGCTGATTTGTCATCATCTAGTTTCTCGATATGAAAGTGGTAAACAATGCTGATCTTTTGGAGAGGATAAGCCAAATTCCCTACTTTTGTCAAAAATTTTGAAACCAAAAGACAGCAGGGAAATATCGAGTTTCTGTGAGTTTTCAAACTAAGGAGTGTTATTTCAAGAGTTTTTCAAAGTTTTTCCTCTTCAAACAAACTTTAGTTTTCTTTTCTACTTGCTATTCTCAGAGACTCCTCCAGTTTAGATGCCAAACACAAAGGAGAGTCTACTTAAGAAGTACAGAGAACAAGGCTTGACCTCTTTGCAAACTGTTCAAAATGCCCACTCTCCAGTATATCACATTTAAAGACTTCGTTAACAATAGTTCATATCGAGAAAACTTCAAGTTGTTGTTGACTTCTAGGCTTGAATCTTCAATTTGCTTTCGGTGTTAGGTTGGTACAAGTGATTATTGAGAAAAGTTTGATAAAAACTATATGTGTTTTTTTTAGACAGTTTTATACTACACTTTTTTTTTAAAAAAAAGTTATTTTAGTATTTTTTCTAATATTTTTTTCTTTTAATCTTTCAGATAGTTGTTTTGTAATATTTTTTTCTTATTTTTTAATATTTTGCTAATTAATTATTTTGTAATATTTCTTTTGATTTTTGGCATTTGCTAATAAATTATTTTTTAATTTTTTTAGTTTTGCTAATGAATTGTCTTATAATATTTCTTTTGACTTTTTAATATTTGCTGATAATTATTTTGTAATATTATTTTTTAGTTTTTTAATATTTTGTTAGTGAATTGTTTTGTAGTAGTTCTTCTAATTTTTTTAGTATTTACTATAAATCATCTTATATTATTTCTTCTATTCTTTTAGTATTTGCTAATAAATTGTCTTGTAGTTATTTTTTTGAAAAGTTTTATATTATTTTCTTTTTTTGTAAAATTTTTTTAAAAATTTTTTTAATATTTTTTTAGTTTTTAATATTTTACTAGTAAATTGTTTAGTAATATTTTTTTAAGCTTTTAAAATTTTGCTAGTAAACTTTTTTTTAATATTTTTCTAATTCTTTGATATTTTGCTAATAAATTGTTTTGTAGTATTTCTTAATATTTTTTGTTTTTTAACATTTAATTAATAAATTGTTTTATAATATTTTTTCTAATTCTTTAGCATTTAACTAGTAAATTGTTTTGTAATACTTCTTCTAATCTTTAATATTTAACTAGTAAATTATTTTGTAAGATTTGTTCTAATTTTATAATATTTAATTAGTAACTTGTTTTGCAGTATTTCTTTTAATATTTTAATATTTAACTTATATATAAATTATTTTATAGTATTTTTCTAGTTCTTTAATATTTAACCAATAAATTATTTTATAGTATTTTTTCTAGTTCTTTGATATTTAACTGATAAATTAGTTTGTAATATTTTTTTAGTCTTTTAGCATCTTTATATTATTTGTAATAGTAATATCTCTATATTATTTGTAGTAATATTATCTTTATTTAATAATATAATCGACAACTTTTTTAGCTGATTTGCAATTTTTAATCAATCAAAATCGAAATCAATAATTATCTCCAAAACTAATATAAAAAACAAGATATCTTGTACTAAGAGAAAAGAAAAAGTACTTAAAATAAACTGTAGTTTATTAAGATAGACTTTTACTCAAAACTTTTAGTTTAACAACAACAAATTTTTTAGAAATTTTTAGAAAATTTTCAAGAAATTTTAAAGAATTTGCCTAGATTCTAAAAATTTGATCTTAAAATATATAAATAACAACAATACAACAAATATATAAGATTGGAAAAATAAACAAATAAACAGCAAATCACATTACTATTTTTAAAATTAATAGAAAAACAACAAGTAAGCAAACAACCAAGAGCTAAAAGATTTTTTAAAAAAATTGTACTAGAATTTAATACAACAAACATAGAGTTTAAATCAACTTATAAAGATATTCATATAAGAATTTTGATATACTAAATTATGACAACTCTAAAGAAAATTAAGAGTATATTTTCAAAACCAGTAGAAGAAAGACAAGAAATATGTGAATTACAGACAAGGTTTACTATTCAAACAGATAGATGTGTAGCAAATTATCTGGGAATAGAAAATCCAGAATACATATCATTTATTTGTATAGTATTAGAAAACTACAAAATAGTATTCTAAAAGTTTTCAAAAAGCAACAAATTAAATTTAGAAGATCAAGAACTAATAAAAATAGATCCAAAAACTAATATGATTGAGTTTAAAAATTTGATTATGAAAAAGTTACAAGAAGAAGAAACCAAGAATATAACAACTATTGTCAAGACTAAAAAAGTGATTTCACTTTTTGTACAAGTGAAAATGGAGATTGAAGAACCTACCACATAATTAGTTCTTAATGAGCTAACAAAAAAAGAAAACATATAAATCTCAACAAAAATAAAAAAGAAAATAAAGAAGGTTTAAAACTTAAGTGTTAAGATAATAATTTAGACAAAGTTGCAGAAGCAATATTAAATGAATTAGAGAAAAAAATTCTCAAAAGCTTTGATGATGAAAAGATAGAAGATATAATAATCCTACTATATACAGAATGTGGATCACATGATCAAAGAACAA